CACATCTTGAAACATCAGCCATGAGAACTCCAGGGAGCTAGAGGTAGAGGGGGAGAGCAATAAGAAAATATTTAATAGTAATCTTAACCCAGATTTGTTGCAGACTTGCTGGTAAAAAAGCTATGAATACAAGTTTTACATGGCTGATGTGATCAAAGCATATTTGAAAACATTGCAGAACAGACAGGCTGAAAACAAGTGTTTCTTGCTGTGGTTGTGCCATTAGATTAAACGGTAGGAAGTCAGTGGCTTAAGAACTCATGACAGTATTCATTTAAAAATGCACACAGATCTGTTTGGTTACCAAAGGACTACACAGTGGCAAGACTGTAGTGGTCCAGTGCCAAACAGACTAACTAGGAATTTAGATTTGATTTTCCTTTTAAGTATATTTTGTATGTAGATTAGCAAAGGACTGAAAAGGCAGCTTAAATGCTATTCATTCACTCCAGCTTTACCCCACCGTTAAACCCTTAGGCACAGGCTAGGCAAAGACAGACTCATTATTTTCCTGCAAAGTAGAGTGGTCCTTCCTAGGGCAGCATTTGAAATAAACAGAACCAACTAGCGGGAATCTATTTATCTGAATTTCTTTTTGTAGAAGTTGACTAGGAAACAAATTACAACCTGTTAAAAATGACAAAATACCATATATGACTTACCGTTGAATTGTACACTAGGAACTTATTAGACTTTGTTAATCAATGCCACCATAATAAATAAAAAAATATATTTATTAAGAAAAATGACAAAATATACACTCATGCAATTGTTTATTCACTTATAGGCCTTAATTATATATAAGAATTTAGTCATAGAAATTATGAGTATACATTTATAACATTTCCAAGTTTATTTTCTAATACCTCACCTTCATTGTTCTAGTGCAATATGCTATAACATTTGTGATCTCAGTTTTTCACAGATGGCCAGTTACATTAAACTTTACATTGTCTTTTCACTAAAACTATAGATTGCATGCAGTATAAATGGATGTAGCATGTAGCATTTATTTGTGCTATCATTTTTTTTTTATTAGGGTTCCTATTTCCCCACATCCTCACCACTTCTTGTTATTTATGTTTTTATTATAGGCATCCTAGTGAATATAAAATCATAGCTCATTATGGTTTTGATTTGCATTTCTCTGATGGGTAATGATTTGAGCACCTTTTTTTAAAATTAATTAATTAATTTATTTATTGACATCGGTTAATGAAATCCAGTAAGTTTCAGGTGTACAATTTATAAGTAAGGCATATATATATTTACATTGTGTTTTCACCTCCCATAGTTAGATTTCTTTCTGTCACCACATATTTGACCCCTTTTACCCTATCTACCTCCCTCCTCTCCCCTCCCTCCCTACCCTTTGGTAACCACTAGTCCAAGTCCATGAGTCCCTGTTTGTCCTGTTTGTTTGTTGCTTTTAGGTCTATATACCACATATAAGTGATATCATGTGGTTTTCAACTTTTTCTGTTTGGCTTATTTTGTTTAGCATGATTATCTCGAGGTCCATCTATGTTGTCTCAAATGGCAGTATTTCCTCTCGTCTTATGGCTGAGTAATGTTCCATTGTAATTATATGTACCACAGCTTCTTTATCCAATCATTTATTATAGGATACTTTTGTTGCTTCCATGTCCTGGCTACCATGAATAATGCTGCTATGAACATAGGTGTGCAAATATCTTTTTAGATATGAGTTTTTTCAAGTCTTTGTGATAAATACTCAGTAGAGGGATTGATGGATCATATGGTAGATCAATTCTTAGTTTTTTGAAGAACCTCCATATTTTTTTCTTTAGTGGCTATACCAATTTTCAGTCCCACCAGCAGTGTATTAAGCTTGATCTGAGTGGCATCAAAAATAGCAATAAATGCTTGCTCTCCTTTTTTTTTTTTTTTTTTGCACTCACTGGCTTTGTCATTCACTTGGCCCCTCATACCTAATCACCTTGTATAGATGGGTATCTTAGCTTCATATTTAACTGTCTTGTTGTAATTGAACGTTTTAATATGCCTATGTCTCTCCCACTAGATTTTAATCCTGCAAGGGAATTTCTGCTATTTTCCTTTAGATATTTTAGAAAACCTAATAAAGTTCTTACACATATAAGAGGCACCCAAGAAATATTGTTGAAATGGATACTAAATACAATTTCATACAATCATTTTGTATTTTAATGCATCATGATTGGAACCTGTCAGAGTTCATTAAAGGGTCAGCTGAGACAGCATGACAAAGGCTGATTATAAAACAAGACAAAAACTTTACCTTAATTAAATGTTTATGGTAAGTTGATACTTTTTTGAAAAAAAGACTCTTGTTTTCCTATTTGAAGCATGATTATTAAAGTTTTGTTCTTCCTTTGGAATTTGAACATTCACACTGGCCCCATCCAAAGCAGAAACTTTGTCAGTTTCCTTCATTTTAAAGAATCTTTACCCCTGGCATGACAGACAAGAAGCTTACTGAGTCTACCTGGAAAGCAGCTGTTTTTTTCCAGGCAGTAGTTGCTTAGTAGCCCTGCTCTGTGTCTTTTGAGTGAAGGATACCTTGATTCTCAAAACTTGACATGTGGGCAGAAATAACTTGTCATTCTTTGCGTGGAGGTGAGTGATATAGTTTGCTCTTTGAAAAAAAAAATGATTTAAATTCCTGGACAGTGCCACTGTCCAATTGGAATGCATTTGTGTGCTAAAAGAATATCAATAACTTTTTAACTCTAAAATATTTTTTCCATAGGAAATTTAAATTTTATTCTTTAGTGAATCTTTGTGACACTCATTTCTAATTGTTCTTACAATGTATTGTTTTCAGTCACATCTATTTACTGTGTTCCTTTAAGTCCCATGAGGGAATTATGAAATTAGCATCACTTGAAGCCCCTTATCAGGATGTAGTGAACTTGTGCCTTTAGGTATATTAAAAAGGCAATAACTCTTTAGATATAAAATACCCCTTGTTGGAAATAAACTTAATATGTGAAACTTTTGACTTATAGATTTGATCAAGTTAGGAAATATTTTTTTTTACATTTTGTGAAGTTTCAAAGCTGAACAAAAGTTCATGTTTGACAGAGCAGAACATACAAAAAAAAAAACGTTATTGTGGCCTATTCTGTTCAGCCTTATAGAAATGTAGAACACTCTAAGAATTATTTGTACTTATTATCAGGTAGTTCCAGAGTGTAGGAGAAATACTTGTGGTCAAGAGCTGATGGCAAGAGGGTAAAGATATCAGTGAAGGTATATTATAATGCTCATTGATGCCAGGCCTGGCTGCCATCTTAACTCAGCACAGTGAACAGTGTCCTCAACATAGTAAGCATTCAGTAAGGAGAAAGGCCTCAAAGAATCATTTATTCTAAAAGTCTTCTGCCTTTTGTCACATACAAACATGACAGGTGACATTCACCCAGATCCATGTATATTTCTTAGCATGTTAGCTAAATGTTAACTTCATACATTCAGAAATATCTGTTGGAATGCCAAGTGCCTGAAAGTACCATGTTTATGGGACATCTTTATATCTACTTAAATTTGTAAATATGCAAATGATTGACAAATTACTTGACATACTTCACACTAACTAAACACTCCCTATTGTATCACAGAGATTAAAAACCACTGATTTAACTGAACCTTCCATCAAGTGTCTAGCCCATTAGATACTCACTCCTGATTATTTAACTTTCACATTTATATTTTTCTAAAAATTAAAAGGGAATATATGTTATATTTAGGACTGAAAGTTTGATTTTATAAGCTAATAAGGAAATAGGATTCCTATTAAAAATTATCTTGCTGCAAATTTTGCTGGATTGTAACTGATCTTTAAAAAAGGACATTCTGTACTCTGATCTAAATATAAGTAGTCTATCAAATTCCAGTTCCTATTGGGAGAAATCAAGAATTTTTTCCTGGGGTTATGTGATGAGAGAGAAAATAACTTACACAATCACAGGCAAGTTTGAAAGACAAAAATACAACCTCTGTGTATGCATGCTTGTCGGGGGTCATGTAAAACCGGGGGAGACTTGATTGTATGGAAGTTTATTATTTTGCATTTTTATTTCCATTTGGAAGACTGCTTCATTTGATTTTATATTTCTGATGATTCCAATCCATGCGTTTTTTTAGTATGATTCCATGAAGAAACCTTTATTGATTGTGCTCTGTACCTCAGAAATGTTAAGTTTTAAATATGGATACATTACCATAGATGTATGAATTAAGATTCTAAAATAAATGCATTTTAGAGGAGAAACTAACTACAAATTATTAATTTTACTATTTTAAAGGTCTCTTCTAGATATGAGTAGGAGATAAAATAACCTGTTAATCTAGTTGAAGTAGCACAGACACACATGAAATATATCTTAGCAGCACATGTTAAAACTGAGTAGTACAAGTATATTTCAAATTTAGTACACATGCAGACTTAGTTCTCACATCTTATTTAGTTTATGTTCTAAACGATGAACATTGAAACAGAGTGACTCTTAGGCTTGTAACATTCTCAAGGGAAGATTCATTTCTGTTCATTACATGATGCTTGTTAAAATAAGTAGTAGACTCAGGTGGTTTGAGAAGACTTTCAACGAGGGCTGAAACTAAGAGAGGCTTCTATGCAATCAGAAACAGCTTCCCACTGCTCACACTTTTGAGGTAACTGCACTTTAGGTTATTGATATGCATCAGCTAGCATTACTTTTGCATCATTAGATGTGGGGATTTTCAATAGAAAACAAGAGAAAATCAGGTTAATAAAATGATCTGTGGGCTGAAAGTTTTCCAATTCACTTGTGAGAT